GTTTTCATTTTTTTGAAATTTCAAGTTATGAAAAATTGTTTTTTTTCATTTTTGTTTTCTGTCATGGTTCGATTGATTTTTTTTTTTTTTTTTGTTGTTGAATGATGATGATAATTATGGAGTTGAATACCAAAAAAAAAGAGAAAGATCAAAAATATTTTTGAGAAAAATGATGATGATTCAATGGTTGGTTTGATTAACTATTTGAACCATGGTGTTGATTTTTCTCTTTTTCTCTTTGATTGTCATCAGGATCTGGGTTATATATAAAATGTTTATTGTTGTTATAATCAGATTTTTTTTTGTTGCACTAAAAACTGCGTTTGTCACTTTTAATCTGAGATACTTTTTTTTTTCTCCTGTCGTCACACAGAAGGATTTTTTCTGTTTCTCAGTTCCAAATTTGGATCCCAAAACAACAACAACGCACTGGATAACAATTGAGATGTGAATTCAGCAACAACAACAACGAAAAAAAGATATTTTTTCCTGATTGATAATAGTGGTAATGTGATGTAGAGAAATGAAAGTGAGAAGATTGAATGGCAGAAATGAAAAATAAAAAATATTGAAGGCTAAAGTAAAACACTTCGCTACATTTCGCTACTAGAACTTTTTCATTTGATGATCATCATGATGATGGAACAGCTTTCTGGATCTTTTTCATTCAACTTACCACAATGATGTTGATGATAATAATAATAATAATGGTAAAACGAATCATCAAATAAATATCATCAATATGAAATATAAACCATTCATTTAATAACTTTAACCATTTTCATTCTTGAAGAAAAAAAAGAAGACATATAAAAAAAATGATCATTTCAACTTCAAATGGTTGTTGTTGTTGTTGTTGAATATATTCAATACACTATGCTACTACTATCATCATCATCATTATTATTATTCATTTTCGTGATGATGATGATGATTATCGTCATTGTGTCCATTAAATATGGAAAAAAAATCATCATTGTCTATGTTGTTGTTGTTGTTGTTATTTATAATGATTGTTTATTGTTGTTGTTGTTGTTGATGTTTATGGCAATCATCGTTACATAAATATAATGGTTACAATCAAAATAACAACAACAACAACAGGTTTCTGCTATACTCTTTTTGGATTTCGTTCTTTTTTTTTCGTTTCTCTCTTTCTTTCTCTCTATTCGCATCATTGTTGTTGTTGTTGTTGTTGTTCCTAAATAAAATGACAATTTTTGAAGGATTTGTTTCTTGGTTGCGTTTGTTACCGTACGATGTATACATTGTTTTGAATTGAAAAATTATTTTTGAATTTTATCAAACAAAAAACAATTTATCGCCATCTATTGATCAAAGGTCCAAAGTTTTTAATGTTCGAATTTGTTTTGTTCTCATTTTAGTTCAAGAGATGGCGTTAATAAAGCAGATTTTCAAAAGAATTTTTGAAAATTGAATCTTTTTGTTTCAGATTGCTTTGCAAATGAATTCAAATGAAATTTTTTTTTTCGGAAAAAAAAACTATTTTAATCATCTCAATAAGTTATTTACATTGATTTGAATATTTTATATTTTAAAAATCAAAAGAAATTAAAACAGAAACAGATTATAATCTGAATCCAAAAAAAATAATAAAGATTACAATCAGTGTGAGAAAACAGAAATTCTGTGAAAAGTGTCCGTGTATGTGTAGGTGTGTGTGTGTGTTTTGTATACAGAAAAGAAAGTTTTGAAGAAAAAATCTCATTAACTATTGTGTAATTTTTCATTGTTTTAGTTTTGTTTGTTTTGTTTGTCGTTGTTGTCTATTATTTAATTCGAAGTTAAAATTAAAATTTAGTTTAGTTTAGTTTTTTTGATATCGCGCTCATTAGGCTTGATTTGTGGGTAATTTATTCGGTTTACATAATTCGTTGGTCCGTATTTATTTGTCAAACAAATTTTCAAAAAAAAGAAAAGTTTTTTCTTCTATTTACAGATGCATTAATAAATGGATGCAATCACATGATGATGATTTTTGGAAATATTTACAGCTGTACACAGATCTCGAAGATCAAAGATTCATCGATGATGATGATGATGACATCAAACTATGAAAATTTATAAAATTTTTTCATTAGAATTTTTAGCAAAGGAATTTACAATTAAATTAATTAAACTTACCCGTTAATTCAATTGTCGCTTTTTTTTCTTTTTCATTGTTTTTAAAAGAAAAAATTCAAAGAAAATTCAAAAGTAAACAGTGAAAACAACACTTGAATAAATCATATTTTTCTTCAGTAAATTAAAAAAAAAAAAATACTTTGGCGCCAAACATCATCATCATCAATACGCCTACACTTATTATCGATTCAATTCCGGTAAACAATTTTCAAACATTTCAACAAGTTTGATGAATGAATAACAGAAAAAAATAACTGATGATGACCATTCCAAAATCATCCAGAATCACAAATGACGATGATGATAATAATAAAAAAATTTTGGATTTTTTTTTTCAATAAAAAAAAAGTAAAAAAATTTTCAAAAAAAACCAAAGAAAATAAAAAATGTAGGATTCTCAACACAACACACACACACACGCTATATTTTTTTCTGGTGCAAACCACGCATTTCCTATTACATTACATAATAGCATCAGCAAAAGAAGCAGCAGACGCCTAACACATAGAACATCATCATCATCATAGTGAAAAGGGGCCTGGCCATTCGTTTGGTTTGGTTTAGTTTAGTTTTTTTTTGTGTTCGAATGATGCTTTTACATCAAATTTTTTGCAATTTTTTTTATTTAGTTTTTTCAGTTTTTTCATTGTTAAACATTTCATGAAAATAAAAATAAAATTTCAGGCAGTCGCAGAATTTTCTCCATCAAATAAAAAAAAATGAAATTTTTCTTTTGGGATATTTTTGAGTTGAATTTCGTTTCAATTGAATTATGACAATGTTCTTTGGCACTCTTCCTCTTCTTGTTGTTGCTGCTGCTTTTGATGGTGATGTCCTGTAAGTTGAATGTTTGATGCGCATTATTGATGGCTTACGGTTTTTTTTTCAATTCAATTCGAAAAATTTTTTCGAAAAACCAATTTTTGATTGAAAGCAAAAAGAAAATTGCAAAATTCTTCAGCTATTTCCGAAATGAATCTCTGAATTAAAAAAAGGCGGAGCAATGGAAGAAGGGAAAAAATTTCAAATTTAATTTAAAATTTTTTTAAAAAAACATTCAATTTTTATTGGATAAATTTTAAACAAATAACAACAAACAAAACAACAGCATTAAAATGATGGGGCCGCATCCTCTTTTTCTCTCCTTCTCTCACTATGTAGCTCATCTATAGATACAGATATACAAACACACACACATACACACACGAAGCTATAGTTTTGATTTGGTACGTTCCAATTGGAACGAATAATAACAAAAAAAAAAAAAAACGCAGCAGGATGTGTTTGGGTACACTATGGACTTGTTCTCATAACATATCAGGTCATTATTTTTTTTTTCATCATCATCATCATCATTATTATGAACATCGTTTGTTTGTGTCAATAGAGGATTTATATTTGAAATTTAAACATAGAAAACTGAAAATTTCATTTCATTTCATTTTTTTTAAATCCTATAATAATGAAATGAAATTGTTCAAAATCAATCAACTAATCTTAAACAGGCGATGTTTTTTTTGTCGTTTTTGTTGTTGTCGTTATTGTAGAATGTTCATCAAAATTTTTGTCCTAACTTGTATTTCGTGACCCTAATTTAAAACTTGAATTTGGAATTGTCCAGAATCTTTTTCATCATTTTTTCGGATGATTTTTAATTTTCAATTTCGTTGAAAAGTTTTCGTTGTTGTTGTTGTTCCCTTGTGATTCCTACAATTTTATTTTATTTTTTTGCAAGTCAATTTGGATTGAATTGCCGATCAAGATGATGATGATGATGATGATTTTCATTTTCTCAATTTTCATTTTCTCATTTGAAAATAATCTTATTTGAATGATAATCATTCGATAAACATATAAATTACACACACATAGTGAATATAAAATTCTATTCACACATTCATTTAGATAAAATATAAATTAGAATCGAGCAATGAATACTTGATCATCATCATCATTGATTGATTCAAAAATATTGATGAAATTTAAAACACACAAATAACGTTTGTTTGTTTGTTTGATTCATTCGATAGAATTGTTTCAACTTATTAGCCAGATATTTGATGAAATAAATAACCGGAGAAACCTTTATTTTTTGTTTTGTCTCTCCAGAACCGAAAACAAACAAATTGTATTAAAAAACATGAAAATGTCTTCATCATTATTTTTTTCAGGCTCAAATGATGATGATGATGATAATCACAATCATTATCACGATCATTTTTTCGGTAATGAAAAAAGAAGAAGAAGAAGAAGAATGTCATTTGATATTCGAAACAAGAAACAAATACAAATGATGCACACACACACTAATGATAATCGATATAATGGATATTTCTCAGTGAAAACCAAACAAAATTATTATTATTATCATCATATGGTATGGTGATGAAATAATGATAATAATATTCTTTATGAATGATTTTTATATCTTATTTTTCTTTCTGGTGGGGGTTATCAAAATGAAAATATACAATATTCAATTTCATATCATATTGATTTGGAAAAGTTTTTCATTTCTATCTATCTATTTTGGTCGTTTGATTTTTGTTCATTGGTAAATGTGACATAATTCATTCACAGAATCCAAAATTCTTTAGATTGTTGTTTTGTTTGCAACAAACCTATTATTATCATTGTTAATGGCCACTGTAGAATCGTTGGATTGTGTCACTCTCTGTGTGTGTGTAATTGATGATGATGATGATGATTATAATGA